GGGTCGTTAGATTTAGGACTTGTGACCAAAACTGTTTCAGTAGTGGGCATTGCCACCATATGTGCAGCAGGGTGCCTCGGTCTCGCTGGCAGCGCCAGCACGTGTCTGGCACATTCGGGTAGCTGTGTTTAAGTCTCGTTGGTACAAGATACCACCGGTACATCAATTTGCGGGAGAGTTCTGTGTGGGATGTGCAGAGGGATAGCTTGTTGTTGGCGTGGAATATATATTGCCATTGTTCATCTCTGAGTTCATACCCTATGTCTTTTTCCCATGCTATCCTATAGGAGGGTATTTTGCCTTGGGTGTCTGTTTTTTCAGATCTGTAAATTGTTGAGATAATTTTTGTTGCCGGTTTCGTCTTGGTGCATATCTCTGTCAGCTTGAGCCAGTGTGGATCAGGTGAGCGCACTGTTTGTTGCGATTTCTGTAGGTTTATCCATGATTGTAGCTGGTTGTAGGAGAAGGTCGCTGTCGTTGGGATTCGGAATTCTTCACATATATCTTTGAATTGCTTGAGTTTGGTACCCTGCAACACTTGCGACAGTGTGTGGATGCCATGTCTGTGCCAAAGTTTGTGGTTGAAGTTTGGGATAATGTGCTGGATCGATTCTATTGGGGTTGCTGGTGAGATGGGTGACATTTTCCCCTTTTTTTTGCGGTAGTCGTCCCACACAGAGAGAGTAAGTGTGGTTGTCGGCAGCATTTCTGGCACTTTGGGTCTGTGTTTCGGCGGCATCCATGCCACAGCGGGGAGTGAGATGCCTTCGGCTCTATGTTTCTCCAATTCGACCCATGTCATGGGAGTCGAGCGGTGGGAGGCTGCAATAAGTGGAGCAATCTGCGCAGCTCTATAGTATCCTTTCACATCTGGTAGGCCCATCCCTCCTTGGGCTCGTGTAGCGACCATCGTGTTTAGGGCTACTCTTGGTTTTTTGTAGTCCCATACGTAATCATTTATTGAACTTTGCAGGTCCTTTAAGTACTTGTTTGGAAGCTTAAGTGGGAGCGTGCGGAACATATACTGGATTTTAGGTAGGATCACCATTTTTACGGAAGCTATTCGGCCCGTCCAGGATATGTACTTGCCCCTCCAGCTGTGCAGCAGAGTTCGAATTTCTGTGAGGAGTTTGATATAGTTGGCTTTATATAGGGAATTCGTGGACGGTGTGAAGAGGATGCCTAAGAATTTGATGTGGTCTCGCCTCCAGTCATAGTTGAAATTAGTTTTGAGGAGCAATAGTTCTTGATTTGGGATGTTGACGCCTAGGGCGAGTGTTTTTGAGATGTTCAATTTGTAGTAAGAGCAGGCGCTGAATTGGGAGAGGATTTTGTGGAAATTGGGCAAGGATATGTGCGGTTGTTCTAAGGTGAGAAGGATATCATCCGCAAATAGAGATAGTTTATATTCTCGGTTGTTGATTTTGATCCCGTGTATATTGGTGTTGTCTCTGATTAGTTGGGTAAGGGGTTCTAGTGTCAGGATGTAGAGGAGGGGGGAAAGGGGGCAGCCCTGTCTGGAGCCATTGGAGATGTGGAATGGTTTCGATATGAATCCCCCGTTCACTACCTTGGCCGTCGGTGAGGAGTAAAGTGCCGTGACAAGCGCTAAAAATTGAGGGGGAAAATCAAATTTTCGGAGTACTGCCATTAGGAAGGGCCAGTGTAGCCTGTCAAAGGCTTTTTCAGCGTCTAATGATAATAGGACGCTAGGGTTTTTTTTCCGTTGGATCTCGTAAAGTAGGTCTAGTGTTTTCCTTGTGCCGTCAGTCCCCTGTCTACCACTCACGAATCCCACCTGATCTTCCTGTATTAGGGAGGGTATGATATGTGCTAACCTGTTGGAGAAGATTTTCGCTATGATTTTTACGTCCGTGTTTAACAGGGAGATAGGACGGAGGTTTTGGCATCTATTAGGGGGTTTTCCCGGCTTAGGGAGGGTGGCTACGTGGGCCATTAGCATCTCTTTTGGCAGTTGGCCTGTCAGCGTGGTGTGGTGGTATACCCTTTGTAGGTAGGGGGCCAGGAGTGGCGCGAATTGCTTATAGTAGGCATTGGTCATGCCGTCAGGGCCTGGTGATTTCCCGGGGGGTAAGGAGCTAATGGTGTCTAGTATTTCTTGTGTGGTGACCTGAAGTTGTATGGCATTCTTTTGTGTGTCATTAAGAGTGGGAAGCTGAATCTTCGCAAGAAATTCTTCGATTTCTATTGTGTTTGGTTGGTGTAGAGTGGGATCCGTGCAGAGGTTATATAGGGAGTGGTAATAGTCAGCCATGTTGTCGTTGATGTCTTGCGGGTTGTATATTTTGTCGCCCTTGGCGGTAAGCAAGTGTGGGATTTTAGAGTTAGATTGCTGCTTTTTAAGCATAGTGGCCAGATGTTTCCCAGCTCTGTTGCCTTGGGTGTATGTTCTCAATTTCAGTTTGGTAAGGATGTGGGACGTTTTTTCCAGAGATAGTGTGTTAAGTTGCTTGGTGATTTCTTTGATTTCCTCAGCGTGGGCTGTGGAGGGGGTTAGAAGGTGAGCCGCAGTGGTATCTCTCAGTTTACGCAGGAGGTCTGTGTGGTGTTTTTCTCGTTTACGTTTCAGGTGGGATGCGCGGCTGATTAGTAAGCCTCTCATCACCGTTTTATGGGCTTGCCATATTGAGAATATGGAGACATCTGGGGTATCATTCGTCTTGAAAAATTCTTTTAAGTTTGTTGCCAGTAGCGCTGTGAATGTTTGGTCATATAGCAATGAATCGTTGAGGCGCCATGGCGGCTTACCTCGGTGTTGATAGGCGGAATGTAAGGTCATTGTTATCGGGGCATGATCAGACCATACTATATTGCCGATGGAGCAGTTTTCTATGTGTGGGAGTAACGTGCCTGAGGCAAGGATGTGGTCTATTCTGGAGAAGGTTTTGTGTACTTGTGAGAAGAACGTGTATTCTTTTTCTGAGGGGTGTTTTGTTCTCCAAACATCGTATAAGCTATTTTCATGGATGAGCTTGGTGAAAGCCTTGGTTTGGGGCCTGAGAGTGTGGTGCCTTGTCGACGTGTTTGGAATGGTTGAATCCATATGCGTGTCCATAATGTGGTTGTAGTCGCCACATATGATCTTGGGGTCGTTCACACCTTCAGGTAGCTTGGCGAGAATTTTGTGTAGGAAGTTGCGTTGTTGTTCGTTAGGGCTATAGAGGCATACTATGACATATGGGTGCTCATTTATTCTACAGTGTAGAATTATGTACCGTCCCTGGTTGTCTTTTTTGACCCTGAGAGTTTCTACAGTTAGAGAGTTATGTAGCAGGATGGATACACCTCTGGATTTGGAGGTGTGGGTGGCGTGGTGTTGCGTGGGGTATTCCCTGAGGGCGAAGGTTGGGACTTTAGTGGAGACGAAGTGCGTTTCTTGTATGCAGACTATGTCCGCCTTGGTTTGTTTGATGTCATTGAGGAGCATGCGTCGTTTATGTGGCGTGTTCAGGCCTTTGGTATTATGCGAGTAGATTAGCATGGTCGTTATTGTGAGTTATGAGGCTTGAAGAATTTGTCTGGAATATGTGCAATCCGGGTTGGTTGGTGTTTGATTCTTTGCGTTGATAAGTGTTGGTGGGGTGGGTAGGTTGCGGGAGTGTGGGGAAGGAATGTGTAGGAGGGGTTATGTACAGGACCTATTGGTCTGGTACTCTATGTGTACCTGGGGGATAGGAGCTAGAGCTTCCGGATACGTGGCTAAGCGGGCTCCTAGGTAATTTTTTAATAAAGTTGAGCTGAAAACACATAAGTGAGGCTTGCAAACAGTATAGCAAAACATTAACATTTAACAATAACTTTGGTTGCAGAAGACATACAATAATCATTGCTTGACCTGGCGCTGTGGGATTTAAGTACTCTGAGACTCTGTGTATTGAGGAGTGAGTGACTCCCTCCGAATTATGTGAGCGTCCCCGTAATCGGGTTATCTGCTCGGGGGCAGAGCTTACATTCTCCCAGGTGGGGCTATTTTAATGTTGTATATATTTCGCTGTCCCATGTGAATATTGTGTTGGGCGTTCTCAGCCCGCAGGGAGGAAGGGAGGAGGAGGTGGTTGGCATGCCGTAGAGGCTCTCTGGTCCAATTAGGAGTTAGTCTAGTGTGTCAGGGTGGCTCTAGGCGTCCGCTTCGGAGGGGTGATAAGAGGCTACATGTCTATGTACAAGTTGGCCTCTGTGGTATATCCTGAGGCATGCTTGTAGGCATTGGGGGGGTGGCTTATAAACTAGTGGTGTCATGAAGCATGGGGTCCGCTATGCGGCTAGTGCTATTCATTCAGTTCTATCGTGCCTTACAAGGTCTTGTGAGAGTGTTAATTGTTTGAGGGTTTTTGGGCTTGCATGCCTCCACTGGTTGTCGGGAGGCATATGAATGATGCAGAAAAAAGTTGTTGTTTTTTGTTTTGTTTTTTGAACTTCATAGAGCACGTTATAACATCGGAGGTTACTTTATACCCTTGTTGAGCATACCTGCACAGTTTATGTTGTGTTTATATTACAATAGAGAGCTGGGCTCCCAGCTAGATGGCATAGGGAGGGAGGGGAGAATTGCACGTGGGCATGGACATGGCATGCCTGAACCTTGGGGGGGGGAGAGGTGGCTAGCAGGGTATGGCATTTAGGCTCACTAGTAGAGTTTACTCTATAAGGTGTGCGCTCACAATACCTCGGTTGTTTTGTATATAGGCTGGCGGTGCTTGGTGATGGGAGCGGGGGGGTATACGGGTAAGTATTCTTCGGGCTCACTGCCGCTAGCCTCCCTCCTATCTCAGGGACCTCCTGGGGTGTGCATTTCCACTTGGTCTGGGACACTACGGGCGCTGGGATATGGGGAGCGGACGGGGTGAATAGAGCTCAGATACAGCGCAAGGTAGCTGACAGCTACCTATGGAAGAGCATTGAGTGACAGAGATAAGTAAGCATAGGTAAGCATTAAATGATACTTGCGTCAGGTGCATTTGCTTTTGCAAGTTAGTGGGTCAGTCCATGGCTGCATTGCGGCCTGGGCGGCGTTTGTCATGCCGCGGTTCTCCCGGCGGTTCTTTTAGTAGGCCCCATGTCTCGATAAGCTGTAATCCTTCTTCTGGGGATGATATGATGGACGTCTTCCCGCTTTTGGTGAGTATTAGTTTCGTGGGAAACCCCCACCGATATCGAATCCCATGGTTGCGGAGTGCCGTGGTGGTCTGATTGTAATCCCTTCTGCGGCGGAGTGTAGCTGGCGACAGGTCCGCCATAATGCGCACCGATGGGAAGTCATCATGGGGGCCCCCTCTGTTCCGGTGAGAGCGGAGGACCAGCTCCTTGATGTGGAAGTAGTGGGCCCTAAGCAATACGTCGCGTGGTATGGAGTCTGGCAGGTTTTTGGGTTTTGACACCCTATGTATCCTGTCCACCAGGAGCATGTCTGCGGGGATGTCAGGAGCATAAGCTCTCATTAGGCCTCTTGCATAGGCTTGCAGGTCGTCTGGCAGGACTGTCTCTGGGACTCCGCGGAGTCGCAGATTGTTTCTTCGGGCACGGTCCTCATGGTCCGCCATGCGTTCTTCCATGACTGTCAGCTTATGTTGTATTGCCTGTAGTTGCTCTGAAGTGGCGGTTTGTACAGTCTCCATCTCCTGGTGGCGCCGTTCCATATTAGTTGTTCTCGCTGAGAGATCTCTCACCTCCCTCTTGATTTGGTCGGCGGTCGTTTGCCAGGTGGCGATTAACTTTTCTGCCATGATCTCCATTGCCTGTTCAAAGTTGCTTCGTGTTAGACATTCCACTGGCGTAGAGTCTTCCGATGGCGCTGGGGAGAGGCTGGGAGCCGTTTCGTCTGCGCCCTCTTGTCCGGCTGCTCGTGGCGGGTCCACAGCAGAGGAGGATTTGTGGCCGAAAAAGTTCATTTTTTCGGCCTTTAGAGGTAGCCTTTTTAGTTTTAGAGGTTGCCATGGGGAGTTTGGTGGATGTCAGGTTTTCAGCTCAGTGTAAAGGTTCTTGGAAGAGGAGCCCTCGTGCCGGAGCAAAATCTCAGGCGTCCATCTTGCTCGGCGGTTAGCCACGCCCCCCTAAATCAAAGCGTCTTAATGGAGCCACCCCTAGTCCTTAGGGGGTTAATAGTCGGATCCACCTCAAACTCCTTAGGAACTCAGGAATCAGAAGAGAGCAGGAATCAATGTATTTTTAAAATGCCGTTGGTCCTACGCTTTTCGTTCTGTAACACAGAACTTCCTCAGGGACCTCTCAGTTAAAAAACAAAATTACAAATACAAGTATGCAGTACAAAAAACACTATAATTCCAAACTATATGATAAGGCCAGGGAATAATGAAAGTATTTTTAAAAATTGGGTGGACTAGAAGGCCTGAATGGTTCTTCTCTGCCATCACAGTCTATGTTTCTATGAAAACTCTCTCCAAGATCCTCTACTTAATCTGATATCTCACCAAACTGGTAGGTAAAACTGATATAATTGAGTTACATATGCGACAATAAATGTCTAGGCTATCACAACTTTTCCTTTACTGAAAAAGGTTTGGACGCTGAACTGTTTCCTATCTACTTCTATGACAAAGCTGCTCAGCCTACACAGATGGTGCAGTGGAATATCCCCACTCGGAGCACCAGCTGGGAAGATATAAAATATATGTACAGTACATTAGACCCAATAGTATAGATAACATGGTTGACCATTATGCTGACAGAATGTGTCTCTCTACTACACTCATCCAGCCATGCATACTCCTTATGGACTTCCATTTGCTACTTGGACTCTCTTACCTCTCCAGACTACTGATGGCAACTTTTGGCTAGAAGAACAAAAACAAATGGATGCTGTTTCTTTGTACACAAAACGTATGAATCAGGAAAGATGGCAGTGGGTAATTCGAGGCCAGGCTAGCAATGAAACTGCAGAATAATAACCTAAGAGCAAACTCACTCATTGCTGGACTAGTAAAGGCACTGCACAATTTCTGTATGACGTCTCATTCCAGCAGTACTGCTAAAATAAGTCTTGTCTGCTAGTGGCCCACAGGCAAATTGCCCGCCTTACCCACCCTCCTATAAAACAACCCTCAAACTGAAAGGGACACTATGATTGAAAAGAGTCTAAATAATACTAATTGCACTAATTAAAGAATATGGATACAAACCTATGTCCTAATAGTACTAGGACACAAGCCAAGTCAAGCATACCTATCCATCCTTCTGTGGTCCGTTTACTCCTATAAATTTTGGTGTAGGCTGTGTGGCCAGTTGGGCAGATATTTTTATATGTGATGGCAATGTAACACATTAAAACCTCTTTGAGGATCAACTTTCAACCTCCTAATTTCATTAAAAAGTAAAAAGAAAAAAAGCAAGGATGGTGTCCTAGCATCATAACTACAACATTCTGAAGAGGTGATGGTGCCTAGTGTGCCCCTCTTAAAAGAAACAAACTTAAAAGGTTACTCCAAGCATCATGACTATTTCAGTGTTTGCACATAGTCATGGTTCCTGGAACCATTTCAGCACGAAACCCTGCTAATACAGAGATATTTGGGCTACTTGCTGGAAGTGTAATAACACCTCGCGCAGTGTCAGCAGCCAGTCCAGAATGAGAGTTCCAGGCTGGTAATGTCAATTCTGTGCTTATTTATACGCTCATTTATTTGCCGAGAGCTCAGCTGGTGCTCTCAGCTAATGAATGAACAGCAGGATTGGCATCCAGCTTCCAAAGCTCTGCAGAAGCCAGATGTCATTCAGACGCCATCGGAGGAGGCTTGGCGCCCAATGGGACCTAGGTAAGAGGCAAACCATTTAGCTACGGGAAACCGATTACCGGAAAACGGCGTCTGGGTCCTCCTAGCATCATAACCACTACAGCTAGCAACAGCAAAAAAGAGTAAAATGTATGTAGCCCTAAGCGTCAAATAGTATCTGTGGCGAAACCGGCCTCGCCACGTGTCCTTGGAGGGGTCTGCTTGCCCGCCTCTTGCCTTTGGACTATGGACCAGACTTTATGTAAATGTATTAACCCAGATAGCTATGCCATGGAGCCCATTCGTGTAGTTAAAGACTTTGGCTCCATGGCAATTGAACTGTGTGAATAGGATCTGAGCGCTATTCGGTAGTTTTGTGCGCTCAGATCCCAGCTATCTGGGGATATGTGAAATGTCTGTGTCTTATGTGTAAAGGTGACTTTATGTATTTTAAAGTGTTTTGTGTCTTTTTGCAACCATGTGCTTAATGGAGTCTTGTGTCTGTCCTGGGAGATAATTGAATTACTCTCCAGGATAGAAGACTCTGAAACTGGTTTGGGCCAGAAAGCCATGCTTCATTTAGTCACAAAGGACTTTTTACTAACTTTTGAACCCCTTGTCTGATTTGTGCCATTTTGAATATGTTGTTCCCCTGAATGGATTGATTGTGAATATGTAATTTTATGTGAATGTGATGTATGGTTTTGGAGTTATGAAAGTTGGGTAGAAATTATGTTTTAACTGTATGTATAATTGAGTTTCCTCTCAGGATAAGGGGAGGGAATATGTGGGATGTAACTGTGATGTGATTGGTTGTTTTGTAACGCCCTGTGGGCTGTACTATGTTTGTGGATTGGGAATAAAAGAGACTGTATGTGACAGTACAGGGAGTTCCTGTTTAACCCTCAAAGTGAAGTGTCGTCTCATTATTGGGGGAAGGATTTATTGTATGCTGTTCCCGTTTGACTGCTAGGAGAGTAAACCTATTCGTATGGTTCCTATTCAACTGTCTACAGCATTCATATGCTTGAGAGGATTCATATGCTTCTCCGGTTCGGTGGTTGTGGTGTCTGCTGCAGTGCTTGGAGTCCTCAGGAAGCGCTAGGAGCATCCTTTAACGGAGGTACCCAGTCGGGGTGCCACGCGATCCGTTACATTGGTGGCAAGCGGTGGGATGGCGTCCTAGTGCGAGGTAAAGCAGCTCAGAGACACAGTTCGTTTGGATTTACAAATTGAAGGCGACACTAGTGTTTATACAGCGTCCCTGTCTACATAAAGATTTGGGAAAATGGGGTTCGTGGATCCTTGGGCACCTCGCACACCTGAGGAAGAGGGTGAATTGGACTGGAGAGATATTGCCCGGCAAGAACTATGGTACAATACCCTGGAGGAAGTCCAGTATCAACGGCAGCAGCGCCTTCCTGGTGTCGCATACCGGTTGGAGGAACAAATGGCCTGGCGGATGCCGCTTCTGGGAGACCAACCCGGAGGGCAGCAGGTCAGACAACTTGAGTACCTCGTGGAAAGGGAACTGAGCCTTGACGCCTCATACCGGGCACTGTGGTGGTGCACTGTCCAGCCAGAGACGTGGAGGGCAGAGGGCATCCAGCCGGAGGGGGAGAACTACACTAGCCCTGGCCTGTTGTGGAAGGCCTTAGCAGAAGACGTCGACTTTGGCAGTCCAGCAGAGTCACGGTACTGGGCTATCTTTTATTACCGGGGTGAGATGGTACAGGGCCCGAGATCTATGGGACTGGGACAAGACCTCCACCGTTTGGCTGCCATGGAACGACAGCTAGAGATGGACTATGTGGAACTACTAAACTCATGTCAGCCACAGGGCATGGACACAGAACAGGAAAACTGGCTGGGGGACCCAGACCTGCCAACCTACAGCTGGGAAAACGCAGCCGAGGTACCCCCTGCTTCACTACCAGCTGCAGAAGTAGGAGACCTCATAGACTGGTCCTGGGAAGACCCACAAATGGCAGGTGGAGATGGGATGGTGGTCTCTCTACCGGCCCTACAGGGATGCTGGGCAGTCGGCCCAGATCTCCAGCGGCAGTATGTATCACAGGGAGCTGAAGGTGCTGTCCTTCCTCCCCAGCGGCAGTGTGAGTTCCAGGGAGCCGAAGGTGCTATCCTTCCTCCCCAGCAACAGTGTGAGTTCCAGGGAGCCAAAGGTGCTGTCCTTCCTCCCCAGCGGCAGTCTTTTTCCCAGGGAACGGAAGGTGCAGTCCTTCCTCCCCAGCGGCAGTGTGTCCTGCAGGAAGCGGAGACAGTCTGTCTTTCACCCCAGCCGCAGGACAAAATATTGAAAGGGGAGACAGTTGGTCCCCCTCTCCACCAGCAAAGAGAGTGTCAGGGAGGTTACCCCCTCTCCCCAGCGGCTGTCTACAGTTCAGAGAGAGAGGAGCTTGTTACACCCTCTCTCCAGCAGCAGCCTAACCCACCAAGGGGAGATGTTAAGCCCCACAACTATGCAGATGGGACCGTAGTCTCTGCACTTG